CCCCTGCGCGTCGGTCGATACTGCCGCTGTACTGTCTTCGTGCATACTTTGAGGTATCTTCGTAAATAACCTCATAGTATTCGTATCAATATTTCTAGAAATATATATTTGTCATGTGATTTTGTGATCAAATTTGTCACACAAGATTTTCATTGCATGTCTTTTTTTTAATTGGCCCAACAAAAATTTGTTAATATTGTTTGAAAGTATCTTATGTTACTTTTTTTTCAAAATGTTTTTCAGAGACGTTCCTGTGTTAGTAGATGGGGCACATTCTCTAGGAAGTTTATCACTGAATATAGTGGATATTGGAGCAGATTATTATGTGACAAATGCACATAAATGGTTTTGTGCTCCAAAGGGATGTGCTTTTCTTTATGTTAGGAAAGAATTGCAACAAACCGTCAGACCATTGGTTGTATCACATGGTTTTGGAAGTGGATTTAGCGCTGAATATATGTGGCCAGGTGGGAAACATACCTGATAATTCCTTTTAAATCCTTATTCTTATTTTGTTTGTTTGTAAATGCTTCTATCCTTTTTTTATGAAATGGTGTAGGACAACCTAGCAAAATTTCCCACAAGGTAGGAACAGTGATGGGTTTAAAAAATGCAAAATCATTCTTCCTGATTCTGGGTTGAGTTTGAACGTTCTCAAACCCAGCTTTTAGCTGCAAATTCAAAAAGTGCCTTATAACTTCCAAACCTGAATAATTTACATATATTAGATATAATTGTATTTAAAATCCTGAAATTTTTTATAAATTGAGCATAATATGAGGATATTACGAGGATACTGCAAAGTATGCATAAGTCTGTACAGCGACAGCGTACTGTCTAAGTGCATACTTTACAGTATCCTTGTAATAACCTTATTATTATACATCTTTTCCTTCCAGGAATACATCATGGGAATGCCGTAATCCAAAACTTTTAGAACAGATTTAGCGATCTTCTTTGTGTGATGTCCGGTCAAACCCTAGGGGCAGCCATGTATATTTTTCATTATTAGAGGACGCTTGCATGCATAATCGTTCCTTATTTGGAATTGCCGTTTCCTTATATGGTAGGATTAAAATACCCAGTACAATACCACAAAATTACTTATGACGTTACGGTGATAGATGTATAATAATAGTATGTAGGTCTATCATAAGTTATTTTAAATTAAATAGTCTTTATCAATAAATTAGTGACATTGTGAAGAAACAAAATGGTGACTCTCTCACCCAAATATTGATAATAAGACAGACAAAACTGATGTACACCTGTTTCTCATCTCAGAGAAACAGTTGTGGACTGTTGTGGAAATAAATACATAAAAATATATATCTTATATTGCATTATTGGCCAATTTACCAAGTTTGATTTGTGATTGTTATGTGCATGCCAAAGAAGCGCAATAGACACCAATCGGTCATATTGAAACAGATCATAAAAGTATTGTCACCATACTAAATATGTAAAATTGGCTTGTGAAAATTATTCAATTATACAATATATTTTTTATGCAGAACATACATGCACACCAGGAACATTACAGGAATGTTGTGAAAAATCTACATGAATGTTTCTGTGCAAATCAATCATCGAGGATGCAGACATCACAGAGCATACTACTCTACACATTGTTTATATCTGATAAAGTATTTTTTTTAATTTTATTATTTCAGGATTAATAGATTTCACCTCCTTCCTATCACTTTATACTGTGTTAGACTTCTGGAACTCTGTTGGACCTGATAAAATAAGGCACTACATACATTCACTAGCGAAACAAGCAGGTATGACATCTCAGTTTGTTCAATTATAGTTGTTTTAACAGAGAGACCTAATGCCTGCACATTGGAAGGAGTTACATAAGCAATGTAATAAGATGTTTATTCAACCATATTTAACCATTTCTTTCTTGCTAGCAAAATATAATTTATCTTATATTAAAAACAGAACTGATTTAATAAGTATTTCAGTTCATTAACGAAACCAAATGAGAATGTGTGCAGGCGATAAAAACATTGTCAACTCAAACTGTCCATTCTTTGCTGTGATTTTTGATGATTTGTTTTGAATCCCTAGAAAGTTTAGCCTGTATAAAATTATAATACAAGTATAAACTATTGAGAAATGATAACAATGCAACAACAGTTGTAAATACGCCTGTCACTGGTTTAGTTTGTATTCACTCATTTGTCCATTAAAACCAAAAGTACTCATGAATAATTAATCACATGCATGATATAACATTTTATAACAAACACCACATTCATAAAATTATGTACAGCCATTATTATGAATGTTCCTGACTGTTCCTGAATGCTGACATTTTGTTTAATACATGCACAGTATGATATACATAACCAGTAATGTATGTTTTGATATTGTTTTTCAGCTGAATTACTTTTGGATAAATGGAAAACTAAACTTATTGCTCCTATGCACATGTTTGGTAAGATATCTATTATCATCATTTCTATATTTTCAAATTATTTATAAAATAAGGGTATGAAATTTCATAACTGTGTATGGTGGTATGTGATAAATACTCAGCTCACACTTTGCGGACACTACAAGCGATTCAATTCCATACCCATCGTTTCAAAGTATTTTTAATAAATAGCATCATATGATGCAATGGATGCTTGGAATTAAGGTTCAGAAATCCAGAGATTTATATCACTGTATTTAAAAATGCAAAAGCATGTATTACATTTTTGTTGTATCACTACCAAAAACAATCTAGGATGAACACTAATCTGTTCTTTCACAGCCTCACTAAATTGCATTCAAATTTGTTGATTTGCCTCTCAGTTTTGTGATTTGCGTGAGCTCTTCATTGTACGCACACTTGCATAACTTCATCTTATACATTCTTTATATTACTTATTCTGAAAAATTCAAAATTAAAAAATAGTCATCTTCGCTAGCCAAGGTCTAAGTTTATTCGGCCAAGCCTCTAAACAGACCTTGGCAGAACGACCATTAAATATGCGTATTCTAACAGCGCCCCCAGTAGTCAGTTGTGGCTAATCATTGTCCAATCAGTTTGCGTGTTACAAATCCTTCTTTGGCGTTTCATTTTAAACAAAATGGCAGCGCCCATGAATCGTGATATTTGTGATGATAAAATTGCGAAAGTTTTCGGTGTTAGTGCCCTCAAGCCTCATCAGATACAGGCAATTGACACAGTTTTGTGTGGGAAGGATGTCTTCATAGCGACAAAAACAGGAAGTGGAATTTTGTCTTATAATTTGGTACGTCCCAGCTGATTGGGCGCCTTGTTTCAAGGCGCACCCAATCAGATCTCGCTGCTTAAGATATGCAATTAGCCTATGCGATCCTGCACGGTATCATGTAGAACCCTATAGGTCGAAGACACGGGACCGTGCGATTCGGACGATGAAAATAGTATGTTTTTCTAATAGTCTTTGTTTACTTTTTAGGAAGCATGGTACTGGTTCAGCTGCCATCTGACCTTCATAAAAATAAGATATGTAATTATGATTTGGCGGAAACAATTCAAAATAAATTATTTCATCAATTTAAAATAGAGGTAAATGTTTTTAAATCTAACCCTTATAATTATTTATTCATATTTTTTTTAAGAGCCTTTGTGTTTACAACCGGATTAATTACCATATATAATGCACAAGGCAGGATGTGTCAATACCCACATGCCACCACCCACAAACACTCCAGCCCTAGCCCCAACCACCATCCCCACCCACCATAAGTGCGTTTGGCTGTATAATATCTCGTGTTATGAGCCCCAAATGTTTTGTTCTCACTGTATAACAATATATTACTGTTCACATGTTTTCTGTATTTTAATCTTGGACATGTAAAATGTAAATTGGGTATGACCCGTTTTTCACTTCATTACTCAATTACATTCACTTCAGTGTTATATTATTATTATATTATCATTTTTACAGGTACCCATCAAAGCTATTCAGAATGAACTATATGTCAGAATTTCTGCTCATATCTATAATGATATCTGTGAATATGAGGTGCTCAGAGATGCCGTGACGCAATTAACAACAAATTAGTCAGTCTGATAACTCAACTTTTTTTACCGAATACTGGTGGATACTTTGTAATGAATGTATTGAATTCTTAATTAATATTAACAATATGAGATGGAACATATTAAACATGTTGGATTGTATCAAGTAAATAATAAATATTTTTTAAAAAGTTTTTTGTCTTATTATCCTGCAATTATATTTTAGCTGAGTTAATATAAATGTAGATACAATATTCTATTCATGGTTTTATTTTCAAATGTACACTAAAAGAAGAAGTAATCACAATTAACTAAACTTGGATAAAACAATAATCTGAAATGTTATGATCTTAGCTGCAGTATAACTAAGAGTGACAGTGGCTAAACAAGTGGAAGAAAGTAGTTTATTGGATATGACTTGGTCATTTTATCTGATGCAATGTCTTGGCCAGTTTGAATCAGATGGAATGATTTGAATCAGATGGAATGATTTGAATCAGATGGAATGATTTGAATCAAATGTAATGACTTGGCCATTTTGAATCAGATGGAATGACTTGGCCATTTTGAATCCGATGGAATGACTTGGCCATTTTGAATCAGATGGAATGATTTGAATCAGATGTAATGACTTGGCCATTTTGAATCAGATGGAATGACCTGACCATTTAGAATCAGATAAAATGACTTGATCATTTTGAATCAGGTGGAATGGCTCTGCCATTTTGAATCAGATGGAATGATTTGAATCAGATGTAATGACTTGGCCATTTTGAATCAGATGGAATGACTTGGCCATTTTGAATCAGATGGAATGATTTGAATCAGATGTAATGACTTGGCCATTTTGAATCAGATGGAATGACCTGACCATTTAGAATCAGATAAAATGACTTGGTCATTTTGAATTAGATGGAATGACTTGGCCATTTTGAATCAGATGGAATGACTTGGTCATTTTGAATCAGATGGAATGACTTGATCATTTTGAATCAGGTGGAATGACTTGAATCAGATGTAATGACTTGGCCATTTTGAATCAGATGGAATGACCTGACCATTTAGAATCAGATAAAATGACTTGGTCATTTTGAATTAGATGGAATGACTTGGCCATTTTGAATCTGATGGAATGACTTGGTCATTTTGAATCAGATGGAATGACTTGATCATTTTGAATCAGGTGGAATGACTCTGCCATTTTGAATCAGATGGAATGTCTTGGCCATTTTGAATCAGATGAAATGACTTGGCTGTTTTGAATCAGATGGAATGACTTGGCCATTTTGAATCAGATGGAATGACTTGGCCATTTTGAATCAGATGAAATGACTTGGCCATTTTGAATCAAATGGAATGACTTGGTCATTTTGAATCAGATGGAATGACATGGCCATTTTGAATCAGATGGGA